AATAATAATAATAATAATAATAATAATAATAATAATAATAATAATAATAATAATAATAATAATAATAATAATAATAATAATAATAATACTAATAATACTAACAATAATACGCTCGAAAATCATATTCCTATGCTTATTTATAAAAACATATTGAACCCTTATTCGTTGTTAATCGAATTTTGCTTTTTTTCTTTATTCATATAACCCAAATTTAAAAGCTTCATTAAACGTTACATGCAATTACAATCAATCCAATTGCTTTTATATTGTAATTAATATTTACAATAATCTTTTTAAATGGATTATTCAATATTGTGTTTAATCTTTTAACTAAAACTACATTTTCCGTGGCTTTTATATCACTGTACATTTTTTCATATTTATATGAGCCACTATAGTGGCGTACCTTTCATAAAGATGATACCACCGGTCAAAGTGAATATTGTGAACACATGCAATGTTTGAAAGATTAATCAAAGTATTATTTTAGCGATATAATACAACGCTCAACGTGTTTTTTGTTTTGTTTTGTTTTGTTTTGTTTTTTTGTTATACAATTTATAAAGCAAACTCGAGTAAAATAAAAAGTTAGCTAGCTTGATATATCTTTCCTTTTTATAATTCCGCAATTACATCAATGTGTTTTTCCTGTTTGCATCTCTATCCCGCATTGATTGACGCGCATCACTACCTGATACTATCGTTCTATGAACTAACTACAGAGGTGAGCTGGGGCCTATACACAAACACTAAACACAAACACATACACCATCTATCATCATATCATTCCTTATCAATTCGACTAGGAGCAAATTCACGAATATCTCCCATAATAATATTTTTAAGTTTAATTCAAATTACTATTCGAAGGCTCCAGCGGACTTCTATTTGAAGTCTTCATCACTCGCACGATATACTAATTGAAATCACCAAAATCCTAGGTTCTTGTATTTGCTCCTTGTTTTTTTTCTTTTTTCAAATACTATTTAGCTAAATATATTTGTGTGTATGTGTATGTGTATGTGTATCTTCTCTCCATGTGTTATGGCAATTAACTAACAATCATATTCAGCTATTTATTGTTGAAAAATTAATCAAATAATACAACATAATAATACAATTGCATGTTAAGTATAGTAGTAATGCTAATTGAATATGTTGATCATCCTATCAGAATTACGTTTGCGTGAAAATGAAAAGAAATAAAAATAAAAATAATTTAAAAAAAAAAATGAAAAAAAAAAAAAAGCTTAATTGTCGCTAAGGATCTATATATATTGTTGACATTGTCTTAACGTCTTTCTAAACAGGCTATCGCTTGGTTCCCACAGCTAGTGCGCCACCAAGTAGCAGTGTCACAGGGAACTACGGTCGTTCCAATCACCCAGAATTGTATGCCGGTGCCTATTCGAACACCGGGGCAGGAGTTACTCCTGGCAGAGCCCAGGCCTACGAGATGAGGCATCACAATAAAGTTTGACGATCCTAGAATGCTGTTACACTCAGCAGGAGGCATCGTTCTCGTATCGTTCAAATAACGTGCCCGGATATTTGTGAAACTAATCGATAAAGAAAAAGAAAAATTAGAAGAAGATAAAGAAGAAGAAGAAGTTGAAGAAGTTGAAGAAGTTGAAGAAGTTGAAGATGAAAATAAAGTAGTTGAAGTTGAAGATGAAGATTGCAATAAGAAAATAAAACGTCCGGCTAATTGTGTGTTTTCGATAATGATGATAATGATGATGATAATGATAATGCTAATGATGATAATGATGATGATAATGATAATTGATATTATCTACAATTTTGTACACATGCTGTGGTGCTGTTGACTCTATTATAAACAATTTCATGTAAAGATTTAGAGAAAAAAGCACCGCTGTATGTGTGTCATTTCAAATCCATATTTACGTTTTTAATAAACTATTCGCGTGCTAGAGTGTATGAATGATAATGATAATGATGATGATGATGATGATGTATGATTGTATGTATGTGTGTGGTGGGACACCGTTATACGTGCGTTATCATTGAATGACAAAGTCAAAGTCATAAAATATCGTTTTAATGCTTCGTCTCTCAGTGTCTGTTGTGTGTACTTTGGAAAGAACGAAGCTAGAAAAATAATAAAAGGTATAAAATAGAAGTGTTTAAAATAGGCCTTTGCGAACTTTGCGGAAGAATCGATTTTCAAAGTGGCATATGGTTGTGAGTTTTCGTATCACTTTCCATAATAACAAACTAAAATGGAAAACAAAGAATGAAAGAAAGAAAGAAAGAAAGAAAGAAAGAGAGTATGTATCATCTACTTATTACTTATATCAAGCCCTTGGCAAATGTATATATATATATATATATACATACGTGTATACATACATATATATATATATGTTTTCAAATATTTTTAATTCTACTCAAAATTGGTAGTTAATAAAATTCTTTCTAATTTCCAATATAAAAAAATAATAAAAGAGACAAAAAAGAAACAAAATCAGACTACGAACACCGAAGATTATTCTTCTATCTCGTGCTTGTTATTATTATTATTATTATTATTATTATTATTATTATTATTATTATTATTATTATTATTATTATTATTATTATTATTATTATTA